GAGTCGTCGAGTGGGACAACGGATCGATGCCGCCCATCTGCCAACCACAGCATAATGATCCCCCAGACTCCGTGACGTTACCTTTTGTCAACTTGAAGGCGCCCCTCGTGCTGCACATTTTGGATCGACGTCTTGGCAAGTCTGGTACCTCGCTCGGTCTTCCTCGTGTTCTGCCCAAGATTTTCTTGTCAGCAATGAGCGGAGAGTTGCAAAATAATGCTCTATCGACACACTCGTTCTTGCGTACATGCAGGAAGGTCAGCGGAATTGATCTCCGGTCATTCGCTGAGCAGTGGATCTACGGTAGTGGTTGTCCAGCGTTCGGGTTCTCTGCTTCTTTCAACAGGAAGAAGATGGCAGTCGAGATCACGATGCGACAAGATTCGCCAGCATACAAGGCGCTCGAGCACAACGAGGTGTCGAAACTGTTGCATAAGCCTGTACCATTTTTTGAGGTGCGTTTACGAGCAGTAGCATCCTAATCAAGCCCCCCTCACCAGCCCCTAAAGGGCCAAATGACTGTTCGGATCCATGAAGCGGATGGCACTCCATATGAGCACGTTTTAGACATTCGTTCGTCCTTCAAACGCTTTGAAGTCCCTTTCAACACGAAGTACAAACGTATCCGACGAAATACCAAGAGATACTTGGCACGACAGGCGGCTGCTCAGGCTGCAGCGGAAGGCGATGCTGAAGCTGCTGAAGCCATGGGTCTAATCGACATGGGTTTTGGACTTGAGATCTGGGAAAAGGAAAAGGAGCGAGAAAACTGGAAGGTGGCTGACTGGACAGAGGAAGATGAGCAGGTGATGTCGGGTGCAACGTACGAGTGGATTCGCATGGACGCCGATTTTGAATGGATCGCCGCTATCGCTTTTGAACAGCCCGACTTCATGTGGGTGTCGCAGTTGCAGCGAGATCGCGATGTCGTTGCGCAACTAGAAGTGAGTTATTTGTCGACAATTCATCTTCCTGACTTGAACTTTCATAGGCTGTCAATGCTCTCGCAAAGCAATCCACCGCCATCGTTTCGAGTACATTCACCAAGACAGTGCTCGTCTCCAATTACTATTATCGCATACGTTGTGAGGCTGCGATGGCTCTAGTGCACGTCAGTGTTTTTAGATTTGTTAACTTTTCAAGTTGTTTCTGACGTGAAAACATCAGTGTGCTATTCGGAAACTTGATTTCTTGGGACTATTTCATCTATTCAAGTTGTTCCTTCGCTACTGTTACGACCCGGAAGACCCCAACCAAGATTTATTCGCTCATACTTACGTCCCAAAGCCTAATGACTTCTCTGACCTGGCAGAATACTTTGTTCGAAAGGTATGTTTTCAGGGTGCTACCTCTATCTCACAACTCATGAATATTCAGAGTCTCGTTCACGCAATATCTCAAGTGCGCTTTGAGAATGGCAAGACACCTTCAGTAGTTCGTCAGTTCCTTGTCGACCAGCTTCGTTATAACGACAACACGGCGAATCCGGTTAGTATGATATCGTCACAAATAGTTACTGATTTCAACGCTCTTTAGTACTCGGACGCGTTCTACATATGCACTATGATTTCAGCTGTTGCTTGTGCAACTGTCTCGATTGCTCCTCCGGAACGTGGCGAGCTCCTTCGCGAAGAAGTTCGGTCGGAGCACACTACCGAGGATGCTAACTTGATGAAGCAGGCAATTGACGAAGTCAGCAGGTATCGCAGCATGGACAGACTCATCCCGTCACCGAAGAATGTAGTCACCACTGCCGTATTGGAAGTGAGTAGCTTCCTGCATCAGAGTGTATCCCTCGTTAAAGACTTTAATTTGACCTCAGTTCTACTTGATTCTTACTACCGCGAACCTCATCCCGAACGATCTCCGGGTCTTCTTCCCTCTTACCCGGTATGTTATAATGGTCGTATATTCTACTTCATCTGATTGTCTCCCAGTGAAGGCAATTATACCCAAGTTCGTCTCGCTGCCTTCGATGGCCTTTTCATGTCCAAGTGGTACACGCCCGCCATCATGCGCTACGTATTGGCCATCATGGCAAATGACCCATCTCGCGTGGTTCGGAGACATGTGGCCCGTAGTGCATGCCAAAGCTTAGCTCTCTTGGTGTCCATGGGGGAGATGAAGAACTCCATCAAGGATACAGAGTCGCTGCTTATCGAGGAAGATGGCTCTCTGCCAGAGAAGTCAAAAGAAGCGAAGAAGAGCGAGGTCGACATGATGATCAAGGTTCTCAGGAAAGACAGAGAAATCGGCAAAAATGAGGTGTTACGGGAGTTCCTGATGTCTATTGCTCTGTAAGTTGTCCGAGATGATTTTGTGCGACTGTTCGTTCACAATAACAACCGGTCTCAAGCGCACCGGATATTGACCAGGAAGTTCGCTGGGGTATCATCAAACTGGCTGACATCGTCCTTCGGGGAGTTGAAGAGACTCCACCGAAGGTTACTATTCATCTGCCTCCTACCCCTGTGACTGAAGCCCCGCCCTCGCTTCCGGCGGTCAAAGTGCTGCCAAAGGCCTCGCGACCTCTCAAGTCCGGGGGACCACCTGCTCGGGTACCTGCTGTTGTATCTGCTGCCCCTAAGCTCAAAATCATGCCTGGTGGTGCTCAAGCCCGAAGTTCTAGTTCATCTGCCACTGCACCCGCTGTTCCAACGCCTCCAGTTCCCATTAGCTCCATGGCTCCGCCTCCAGTTCCTGCGAAAGCCAAAGGCAAACCCAAGCCAAAGCCTATGAATGGTGTTAGGCCCCCTCACATTCCGAAGGCACAGTCGTCTGGAATGAGCTTGAATGATTTGCGTGCAAGCCGTAATGCACTCAAGAAACTCAAGATGCATAAGAGCGCAGTGCTTTTCATGCAACCAGTGGATCCTGTTCGAGACCATGCTCCAAAGTTTGTATCTTGATAATAACCTTTGACTTGTTTGACCTAGTAATATAGCTATTACGAGGTCATCAAAAACCCTATGGACCTCAGCACCATGGGCGCCAAAGTTGAGGCGGGCATGTACAAGGACCGTTTTGCCTTCGAGGCAGAATTTCGTCTCATGATAGCAAATGCGAAGCAGTACAACCCTTCCGGAACGTATGCCCACACTGAAGCGATTTTCTTGGAGACATTCTTTGAAAAACGTGAGTCCAATGGCACAGAATCATTGGGTTTTTTTTACCTTTTCCCAGTTTGGAACCGCATTCAGAAGACTCTCGAAGCTGCTAGCAAGAATGCAGAACCTGCGCCTGACAACTTGCCCACTATCATAGTGAAGAAACCTGGAACTGCTGTGTCAATACCTCCTGCGGTCTCACCTCCGCCACCTCCGCAAGCAGAATCGGAGGCTCCAGCACGTCCGATTATCAAGCTCAAGGTTGGTGGTCCACAAGTCAAGACACCGCAACCAGAGCCCTCGAAGAAGGCGGCAGAGCCCAAGGCTTTACAGAAACCCAAACAATCTCGCAAGCCCAAAGTCGTTGACGAGGCACCTCCGCCTTACGTTGACGATGGATCACATGACCTGTTGCAAGAAGTAATCGCTATTGAGCGAGAGAAAGACGAGGAGAAGCGCACCCGGAAAACCAAGGATCCCGTTCGGGAATCACCTCCCCCTGCAAGACCTTCGGGCAGTGGACCACCTGGAAAACGCAGAAAGACGAGTGCTGACGACAATGGTGGCGAGATACTGATGTTAGCCCCGTCCCTCTCTAGGAAGGAAAAGCCTGGCGCTCCCTCTTTGAGCTCTGGCACTCCAGCTGCGGAGCCGTCCGTTACGCCTGCACCTGCTCCTGCGCCTGCTCCTAAAGTGTCTCTTGGCAAACCGAAGAAAGAGAAAGTTGCAAATCTTCGTGATTCAGAATCTGTCTCCGAACCTCTGCGCACCTCCACCAAAGGCAAAGAGAGAGAAGTTGTACCTAGCATTACCCCAACGCCATCAAAGCCTCGCAAGATGCAGGCGTCAGCTCCACTCAATGAGAAGAAGTGTCGAGAAATTTTGAAGGTTATTCTTAGGGTGCCAGAGAGCGTTATATTCGCTCAGCCTGTAGACCCTGAGAGAGATGGATGTCCCACGTTTGTGACATCTTGCATTATCACAACTAACACTGATATTGGTATTGGTATAGGTACTACGAAGAGATCAAACACCCGATGGACTTTGGTACTATGACCCAGCGTTTGAACGAGGGCAAGTACTCAACCATGGAGGACTTCCAAAAAGATGTCGAGTTGGTGTTAAGCAACTGCCGAAAATTCAACCCACCCACTACCTACCCTGTCAACTGTGCGGATGTGGTGGAGAAAGTCTTCAAGAAAGAATGGGCGAAGGTGATAGAGAGGAAGCTTTCATGGACGGAGAAGAGGAGCTTACAAACGCTGATGACTCAATTAGTGAAGGAGGACGTGTAAGTTTTTACTCCATCTATGGTGGTTCAAATACACTAACTTTACCGCAGCTCTTGGGTGTTCCGAGAACCTGTCGATCCTGTTCTATTGGGCATCCCGACGTATTTTGACGTCATACCAAAGAGGGATGCAAGGGACTTGAAAACGATCCGCCAGAAGCTGGACACTGATAAGTACGACTCGACCGATGCATTTGAGGTAGACATCAACCTTATGATCCAAAACGCTATCACCTTCAATGGCGCGGACTCTGAGGTCGGGTATATCGCGGTGGCCTTACGTGACCGGGTCAAGGAACTATTTGGTGGAGCCAAGGCGAGTACAGGAACCAAGAAACGCAAGGATGGTGAGAAAGGGACACCTCAGCCCTCAAAGAAGATGAAGCTCGGCTGAGCATCGTATGTTAAATTACTATAAGTCAAGCAAATAATCCATTTGTATCTATTATTACTCGCTATTCTTTGCTATGTAATTGCTGTCGCAGTAGCTATGTACATATCGAACCTTGACCGAAAATGTTGTTGAGATCATCGATTTCCAGCTTCCATGCCTCCAGAAGTCGTCAATACCTCTTTGTGTACGAGTCCCCAATCTATAACTTTCAGGGCGTCGCAATGTGAAGTCCAATTCCTCCAGGTTCGAACGTTATACCGGTAAGATTGCCAGAGGCGGAGGGGATCTCGTAGATAGAAACTACGCGTTGTACCTGTTTTGTCGCGTTGGTGATCCAGCCCAATCCTATATCTTGGTAGGGTGCGTAAACCTGCGTGCTGTTCATGTTGACAACGACAAGTAAGTATGAAGTGCCATTGTACCAGACACCAGCATCCACGCCCTGGTAGTTGTAGTTGGTAGATGTAGCGTTCGGGTCGACCAAGAAGGGTTGAACGTAGTTTTGGATGAGAACAGTGAGGGCAGCTGCCGTCCCCTCGATCGATGTTTCATTGTTAGTTGTGGTCGGGTATTGGTAAGACTTGGAACCTAGGCGATGGAACTTAGTTTTATTCATATGCGTGGCATCAGCATGAACTTACCTATAGCACCATGGCTGAAGGAAGTGAATCCCATAGCAGCCCATTGGATGCCAGTGGGTGTCGTGTTCCAGTACCTGTAATGAGGGTTAAGACAGAGGTCGTGTTGGCGACTCAAGGTGACTTACGCGGCGCTACCGAAAGCCTGGGGTGTGGTCCACACAGACTTGGTTCGGTCAAAGCCCAAGATGTTGAGTCTGTCTTTGAAGGTCTGGACGCGGGCCTTAACATCCCACATCTGCCCTTGGCAGTTGTCGCAACCACAGTGACCGAAGTCGGGGGTACACTCTGTATTCCACACAGGAGACCATGTCGCATTAATACCAATAGGATAAGCATCCTACACCAGGGTTAGCAGCGTAAGGGATAAAAAATATTGTGAGTGGCTCGCCTGCAGAACGATATCAGCTCCCTTGACGTAGGGCGAGAAGTTGTAGTCTTGGCAATTCAGAACAATAGAGACAGGATGATATCCATCAATTTCGTAAATTAAGTCATACGTCGCCTGCGCCGCATTTTGGGGATCAGAGTTGCCATCGGGCTCGTGTGCGGTCTCCCAGTTCAATAGGTTGGGAATCGAGGCGTAGGTGTTCACTTGTTGGGCGACGGTACTCAAGTTTTGGTAGTTCCTGAATGCAAAGATATCAATGGTCATGAGATGAGGTGATAAAGTCTGACATACGATCGCATATCATAAACAATGTACATGCCGACACTGATGGTCCTCTCGATAACTTGTTGAAAAATAGTAAGGTTGTCATAAGGAGGAATCGGGTGAAGCTATGGAGTAGACGATCAGCATGGGACATATTAGATCATTGAGAATCATACAGTGTTGAACCTGGATAAATGATTGAATGAATGCTTAAGAAGTGGTGGCAATGAAGAACGAACCCATCATCTTTGAGCTGGTCGATCATAGATAAATTTGTCGCCAGATACTCGTCGAAATTTATGTAGAATCCTTGAGGCACGAAGGGCGCAAATGCTCCACCATTGCCACTTGCAGGCCGTACCCAGAGTGCACCAGTGCGCAAGTCAGTCTTCGTGACAGAAGCATTTGTGTCAGGGAGATATAAAAGGGATGAGCTAGCATCGAATATCTGCTTGTTTGCAGGCTGGGACCCCGAAGATGAAGGAGCGGAATATGTAGCAGAACAGGTGACATTGTACGCAGTCTTCTGAGCGTTAAGTGTGCTGATATCCACGGGAATTTGAATACCGGTAGCATTCAGAGGAACGTTTGCGGTGGTATGGATGGAACCCACGCTGATAGTGATACTGAGGCTTCCTAGGCCAGTGGATCCGCCAGACGAGCCCGAATTGGAAGGAAGTGAGATGGGCTCAGCGCCGGCGATCCAATCATAAACTATTGGTGTGTCGACTATAAATGCTGCACTTTTTGCATCCTCCTCGAGGTATGGACGGAAGACAGGGGCACAGCGGAACGACAGAAGCGGTTCAGCACCTCGTGTGGGCAAGATAAACTGTCCGCCAGGGGGCACCACAGACTGATTTGCCATATAGTTCTTTCCGCACCTAGAAATATCGAGGAATAAATAAGCAGGGCGCATAATCGAAATCATACGTACCATGTCTGAGCGAGTGAGCCTCGAACCAGGCTGGCGGCAACCATGGCCGTGAAGCCTTTGATGTACTTCATTTTGCGTCTCTTCTCAGGCTGGTGGGGGATTTGCCGATGAGAACGAAGGAATGTGATGGTGTGGGGATGCCGTTGGCCAGATCATCGCAACTTATACGACGTCCTAGCTGTCTACTAAGGTCACCGTGAGCAACAGGCTGCGCAGCAGGCTCTGCGTTTAGACCACTATTACTAGTGTACTTACGGTATCATTATCCCCATAGCTGTGAATCACGACACTTCAGTCCGGTTAAGACGGTTCTACTAGCGTTCGAAATCGCACTAGTGTCTCTGGTATGAGCGCTATGCTGAGGTAACGCGCAGATGGTAGACCTGAAGGGGCAAGCGCAAATAAACAAGCAGTGCAACGTTGGTGTGACGATATCAAATGAAAATCAACTAGTGCCAGCCAGTGTGATGTGCCATTTAGCGAAAACAAAGAGGCACACGCGATCAAGGCCTTGGCAAGCTAGCTTAGAGCGCTCAAGAGTGGGTGACGTCGCTACAAATGCGCTGCACAACACGACGTGGTGGCATAGTCGGAGGCAACTTCTTGTCAGTCGGGATGCGTTGTAAGACGGTGTGGGCACTCGGAGAAACCGCGAACGGCTATGATGGTACATGCTCCCCAGAAAGATCATGAACGGCTGTTCCTGCCCGCGTTTCAGACTCATGTTTTAGACACTATAGCAGAGGTAATATTGCAACCCTAGTGGTCATCGTAGTACTTTGAAGCCATCGCCAGGGCTCTTGAACTTGAAAGTACCACAGTAAGCAAACTTTTAGAAATTAGAATAGTCCACGGTCGGACGGACACGATCATGTCACGCATTATAATTGCATAGAACTATCCGTCAAGACAATTAATGGCGAGAGTCCGTCACGGTGCATGCTTGGGTGTCGAGCAAGCTGTGGCGGTAGAGCTTACGCTTCTTAGTGACATCGCGACCCCTACCAGATATTTGCGATGGATTCAATCATGTCAAGCATGTCACACATAAGTCTTTGAACAGTCCTTCACTGCGTTCGTTGACGGATGGTGACATTCTGCGTTACATTAGCAACGAACCATGACTCAGAGCACCCCGAGACTGGGAACCTGGGGTGAAGAGTTCCGACGCGCGCGAATCTGGTGGACTGGGCGCATCTGGCTTATGCTCACATCAAGGACATGAACCATACTGGACTGACATCGACTCTGTCGGTTAAAAAACATCGAGTGCATAACGAGATCTAGTGTAAGTTTTATCAATGACGGAGTCGGTGTAGACCCTTTACATGCTTACCTTGACATGAAAGATAATCCAAGATTGATTCCAATCTATTGCTCCGTGTCAGCCCAAGAGGCTGCAGCAACGAAACCAATCATGACGCACTTCATGGAGCAAAATATTTGTTGCTGAGAGAGAAGTATAGATGCCAGATATGGACAATGTGTTCGGAGAGGTCCTGCAGAGGTTCTAGGTTTTAAGCTTGTAGAAAGACTCGGTTCGTGCTCAAGTGGGAGATGCACGAAAACGTCCCCACAGTGGAACTTAAGTACACCGAAGCGGTATCAAAGCTGTCCCGATGCTATATGCTGCATCACGGCCGTGTACGCGCACGAATACATTGAAGCGATTATGGGTAATGGTCCGTCATGAAATCTTGCTATCCTCAGGGTACCATAGAAATGGGCTGCCGAGTGACAGGTGTACAGATGTATAGGTCTCGAGGTATGGTCCTATATCTGTGTAAGGAACCGCGTACTAGTTAGCGAACTACATAAAAAAATTCGCAATTCCACAGCCAACGAATGGCGTGGGTTGCTTCGTTGATTATTTGCTACATCCAAGCATGACTATGGCATTGAACAAAGTGGTGACCTGAGACGATACATTTTCTCTCCTAGTGGATACGGTGATCGTGGAAATTAGGTATTGCATCTTGCAGCAGAGTAAGAATCATCCCTGTTGAGTAGCATGCATCAAGCCACGCATACCAACATCACAAGAAAAATTACTGGCGCGTGTGTGATCATTTGATCACTTCAATGACAGCCGCCAGTCGACTCCAAAGCAGGGACGAAGGATGCACTTGCTACCGGAGAGACCAAGGAAGCTGTTCACTGGTCAACTAGACCAACGAAGAACAAGAAGGCATTCGACACTCGAAGTTTTGAATATAGCGGTAACCGCGACGCGCAGTAAGATTCATATATGATAGCTGCGAATGCAAGTGTCAGTCAAAGTCCAGCATATGGTAATCAAATAGAATAATCCTGCCTTTGGCTGGCCCACATGGGCACTTCATGAAGATATATAATATCAATCCTACGCGTCCGCAGTGGTTCCCTACTTCGGAAGGATGAGTATCTGGGATTTCAATAACAAACGACGCACGTTCATACTTCGTGTTCACCTACCCGAACTAGTAGCCACAGCTGCTCTGGGAGGCTTGTGCTTTCTTTGTATACTGACAGGCCTAGAAATTATATTTCTGCAGTTGCATGCGTCGGAAGTTCTGGCAGCTCGACCAGCTCGACCTACTCGCCCGTAACCCGCGATATAAAAAATTAGCCAGTCCAGAGTGATCGTCAATATCTGCACTATTGCGGCAGCCTACAATCCATATCAAGAGCGGTTACCAGGATCAGTCAAAGTTATCGCATAGAATAGAGTACTGACTTGTCCGAGCTGGAAACATCCAAAAAAGAGCACCGACCCGCTTGATGCTGACCAAGGACCAGGTGAAGGAGGCGCCAGAAAATCCGCAAGGTCACGATGAGCTGTCCTGACGTTTAAATGCCGTGCGGGTGGATTTGGGTCTCTTCAATTTATTTGAACAGTTGAACTGGCACAGCTGGAGACTAGCGGCTGCATGCAACGATGGATAAAACTTTTGTCGATGATTAACAATATTGTTAGAGTTAAGTTGGAGTTAAGAGAAGAAAATGAGTGTAAATTTTAGACCCCGAAAATTGAATATCGAGGGCTCGGGTTCGAAGGAGCGGATAGAGCTAAAAACTGAAAATTGAACAGTGGCGAGCGGAGTTGTGGAATCCCCCACTTCAATTTCAGAGTACTTAGTACACAAACCCAGCGCCCACCCAAACCACACCTGTCCTGCAAAATAAAATTCGGCTTAGCTTCAAACCACTCTAGCGCACCGCAGAAGGGCGGGCAGCTCGCAATTTAATATGTTGAATTGCAAATCTTGACGAATGACATGAGTGGCCCCCTTACGCACCCATATGTACCTCTGGCACAACGGAGATGTGGAGACACCGGAAACATTGGGATGCAATACTTGGTCGAATGTCAAGTTAGATGGCCACAGTTAACGATCGTCAACTATGTCGACAAAGGACTGGACTTTGCGACGGTGGAAATTTGCTGTTTTTCGATCAACATCGATGGAGCTGGGGGTCTCCAGGGTTTCTGCACTTCGACCACTGATGCGGCATTTCTTCTCATGTTAAATAATCGAACTGGATATTCTCTCCCCCCGGATACGCTGAAAAGTTGAGCAGCTTACGATGCATTAGGTCGCCCAGCTGGATTAATAGTGAGTGTCTTGTTCACTCCAACCATGTTTTGTTGCTGTGCCCTGGGGTGTATCACTACTGGAGTGGCAATCATTGCTACTGTTCATGTTAATTGCCACCATTGATGTCGATCCTTGAAGGCAGTTGTGCCAATGGAGATTTGGGAGGGCGATCTTGATGCAGCCATAGTGATGATCTTGACTCACACGAATGCTGCTATTATAATCTTGAGAGCACACTGCTGAGTTGCTTTCACGGATTCTGATGGCGATTGCGAACTTGCCTTAAGATGGCTCGTGCACGCTTGATGCCCCTTTTTGGGTCACGCTGTGCGTCACACTCCTATGTCACGCTATCCTTGGCTTGCGGCCATGGGGCATGTCGAGGGTGCTCAGGGTGGTTTCCAGCAAATTGCAGAGAGTGTTTATCATCAGTATATTGTTATATATTTCGCATCAACACACCGAGAGCTCTTCGGGACAAAGTTTATGTACCCAAATATCGGATATTGACTGTTATTTTTCAGCTTGGGATCATCTGAGGTGTCTGGCCATCCAGCATTCTTATGATGTCGCGCAGAATACAAGGAGCTGAATAGGCCACTGAGCTTGATACCATGTCAAGGTCGCATGTAGAGGTCCTACAACATTGGTTCGTCGATGTGATGGGACAACCAGCAACCCATCTTGTGGTTCCTGTGCCTCGCGTTTCGCGTTATCCATGGCTGGCTCTGGATGGTCGTCATCCTCGACTATGATCATGCCTAGAAAACTGGTCCAGCGGAAGCAAATTTTGTACCAACATCGAGGACCCACGAGTGTCAAACTGGCAAGGCACCACTTACAAATATACTAACTTTGTTGCACCCAGCCCTGCACCTCTTCTTTCGCGCTACCGGGAGTGGATGTTGAATCCAGCCATTGTCAAATGATGATACCTTGAGAATTGGTTCTGCTGGGGTAATATGAGGGTGTGTGCAAACCGTGCAGGGACAGGCGCCTGCCACTTATTTTGGCATTAACTCGGCACAGGAAATTTTGCTAGTGCCCGCCTCACAATTTATTATTTTACGTCCCCAACCGTCTGCTGGTATTAAAATGCCAATACCTGGTCCTTGCGCAAACCACATCCCTTTCACCTCACTTCCTTTTGTTCAAGAAAATTTCGACCATCAAAATGAGATTGCCTTCGTATAGATCCTCCCACATACTTCGCTACCATCCATACCCTCGGGTCGGCCTCAGCCAACGCGAAATTTTAACGGTAAGCCATTACGAACGTCCTTTCAGCGCTATTGTTAACTTTTATTTTCAGCACATCATTGAGGAAGATGACCCTTTGTTAGTGAGTCATGCGACCTTCGGTATTCAATGCTATTTTTGAACATGTCCATCGTAAAGCAAATCAACAACCCACTCAGCAGCCACAACATTGAATACGAGGAGGACACCTCAAACGCTCTCGATCTCGCACGTTGTCTCTACACTTTCTTGTAGCCTTACTTACTCTTCAAGTACAGCCTGGTGATGAGGAGCAAGAGGAAAATGCCCCGAATCCTATAGAGGTGGTCGAGGTCCCAGAGGCAGGCGGTGAACTTCGTGACAGGCATAGGAAACTGACGGCACTTCTCATCGTACGTTAGCAAGTGTTCTTTTATTCACATCTCCTAACCCACGTTGTGTCAAAGGTCATTTTATTCTTTGTGGTCAGGAAACTCACTGTCATCGCCCAATAGTCGCGCCGCATTTCACATTGTGCCCGGTTCATATCTTCATCTGACATTTGTCGGCTCCCTGTCAACTTGTATATCCCCACACGCACAAATGTAACATACACTTGCTTTGGTCTTTCTTTTTTTACTTGAACATGATTCACATCGTTGCTAATACCATCATTCTTGTAGTTATCACCTCATCTCAATATATTTGTACTATACCGTCTTCCAATGCTGAAGATGTTTCTACAATAACAGACAAGGTTCTGATCCTTCATCCCTTCAAAATGTATTGAATTGTAATTGTTGATATGACGCTGGCTTAGCCTTCGCCTAACAATTATCCTAGCTGAGTTTCAAAAATATAATCCAAACCGGTGTTTCTGCTGTATTTGGTAATAGTTTGCCACGTTCCCAGGGACGAGCACAAACAGGTGTCTCTGTATTTTGCCAATTCAATTATATTGCATTGGGTTTTAATTGGTTTAAACGAATTGAATCAACGCTCGCACTCGGCTCTGGCCGAGTCTCAGCTCTACGCACATACTTGTCACTGATTGTGACATGTTGCCGTGACTGAGTCTCCTAAACGCTGGTGACGCAGACTTCGGTCTGGGGGCTCAGTCACCAGTCATTTGGTGACTTGTACATTACTGATTCTTTCTATTTACTATACGTACTTCTCTGTTTTCAAACGAGCTGTCACTTCCCAGTATTAAAATTGATTGCGGGTCCTCCGAGCATTGAGCTGGAGGGCCCCGCTTGCCCTAAACTCTTCGCACGAGTGCCTATCACCAGTGCAGGTTGATTCAACAGAGTGAAATACAATTAGTGGTGAAGAGGGGGGCTTTATGCATCATGCATCATGTATCACTTGATATTTGAAATCGCTTGTCAGTTTGGTTGGTTTGAAGTGTACGAATGGGCAATGCCACATAACTGCAGCATCAAGTTACGTCAGCCTTAAACACAGTCTAACTTAGAAAAGCTTCAAGAAACATCGAGAATGCAATCATAAGGTACAGCGTCAGGAGGACTTTCACGCGGTATTACTTAGAACCCCGTCGCTGTCGCCCCTCCAAAGTCAGGAGGGAACCGTTCAGGCGGCATGCCCATCATCGGATCTCCTCTTGCTCCAGCAGCTGTCTTCGCTGCCACAGTGGAGTGCAAGCCCTCCAGGGTTTCTGTCCACCTCTCAAGTGCGGCATAACGCTTCTTTTCCAGTACGTGGCTGTAATTGAGTCAGTATGAAGTGCGTAAAAGGAAAATGACAGCGATCGTCTCACCTTTGATCGAGTTCAAGCCGCATGCCGACTTGGTCGATCCGACCATCAACCTTTCCCTCTAGAATGAGTCCAATAAGAAGCTCCTCGACCTCAGCGATTTCGACATTAAGTTGCTGAACAACTGTTAGTGCCAACGATAGTTGAAAAAAGAGCAAAAAAAATCACTTTGGCGAGGAACGAAAGCTCCAGCCTCGTGTAGGGCTTGATGAGGTCAATCAAGTAAGAGGTGCGCAGGCTGCGCAAAAGTTCACCAATATATGATCTAATGAATAAGTCATCCATAATCGTTGACCGATTATCTGCCACCACGTTGAGCACCATGGATTGGAACATGAAGGGACTTACCTCGTAAGATCTTCTCAGCCAGGTGAACTTCTCTGCGTTGATAGGCATCTACAAGGTCAGTCATTGCCTTGATTTGTGAGTCGTTCTTGTACGGCTTTGTCTCCTGGGAGTCGAATGGGTTAACTTCAGATCCAGTGAGCATGTTCGCGAGGACAAGATACTTGAGGACTTGGATGCGTTGCGGAGAGCCGGCTTCGTCATAGTTGCGGAAGGACTCAAAAAAGTCTTCCGATGCACGATTCCACTGTCCTGTATGATAGCGTTAGACATGAGTAAGGATCGGGGATGAACAAGAGTCACTTTCGCCCATCCACATCTTGCCTCCGCACTCCTTGATAACACCCATGATCCGTGGATGTGGAATTGCGGAGCGCACACTGTTGGATGCATTGTATATTTCCTACGTTCGACGACTTGATTAGTAGGTCTGAATGATTGAGTGGGATGCGAGGTTGTACCTTGAGCTTCTTGACATTACGCATCTCATTGTGCATTTGAATCTCGAGTGCATAGATCTCGAGGAGCTGTGTTCCCCGTTGCGACTGGTCTTCGCCATCCATGGCAGCCTTAGTCGTGGCGTGCAAGTCGCGGATGAGCTAGTTGGTAGAGACTGTTGAGACCATATATACGAAGATAAATGATGAATACCTTCGTCAAACGCCCGTACTCTTTTCGATCTAGCCAAAGCTTCGCCAGTTTTAAGTTCGTCTTGACAGACAAACGCTAGAGAGAATATGAACGTCTCAAAGAGTGTATTGCACCATTACAGTACTCACGTCATTCTTCGCTTCCTCAAGCGCATCCTTGGTGACCTGGTAAAACTTTTCTAGTACATCCACCTCGACGGGACCACTCTTCCCACCGCCAACATAATCAAGGATGCCATTGATGGTCTTCTCAGAGTAATTCCGTGTGACTGTAGACTTGGTATAGGTGAGGAGCTGTATGTAGGTCTTCAAGGCATCTGCTGGTCGGTGCAGCTGTAGGAAGAGGAGTTTGGTAGATTGCTTCAGAGCCTTGAAGCCCCTGTGAAGTATCCGTTAGCATACAGTTGGATCAATTGACAGGGAGACTATACCAGTCGCCTTTATCTGTTTCCTGGTCCACTATAGCGCGAAAATCTTTTAGTGCTTCCTCTGGAGTATCTTCTTTCTTTGCTGGAAGAAGAAATGCATCAACAACTTCTGCTATACACCGGATTACTCACATTTTGCAGTATAGTACATGTTCTCTACATCAGCACTACCGGATTCGTTGGCCTCGTCTCCATCAGAGTAGTCGAAGCCGTAATCCTGTAAAATAGCTCGGAATCAGCATAACGTCCAAGGGGCTGATCTTGAAGGGAGTGTGACCTCATCATCACTGCCCTGCATATAATCGGCATCATCGTCATCCATCGTGAGCTTAAGTTATGAGAGAGATGCAGTAAGCGACGAAGCGATGAAGGTGTGCAACTTCGTGAGGAGGTGGCGCACTACACGCAAAGTCACAAGTCTTCTCCAGTAGTAGTGCTATCTAAGCAGCATCGAAAGGGCACAGCATTGTAATTTGAACGCGAACAAAAGTTACTGGAAGACGGATTCGGCTCATAGTCGTATTCATATTCAGACAGTGTTATATTAATTCTCGCCAGAATCTTGGATACTCCCATGGGTAGGTTGGCCGTAAAGGATAGAAAGAGACGTGCAGGCATCACGGAGACGATCAAATGATATAGTTATGATAGACACAGAAACTGTGACTAAATGCTTAGCAAGTGAGGTGCAATATTTAGTTTCATGAACCAGCCGCCTTGCTCAGGGACAATAAGCTCTCACTTCCGAGGGGCTAGTAGCGAGACGCGAACGCAACATCGACTAGCAACGTGCACAACGCCTGATGGCACTCTGAGCGCAAGTTACCTGACCTGTAGGATCCAGCAACTTCACAATTAAGACGTGATTTGTGCTCAGATGGATGGTAATGAATGTACAACGGAATCAGCTCGCACCCAGGGTCGTGCTCCAGTGTTTCCGCCAAAAAGGCAGGACTTGCCGCACAAGACACGCCCACCGCATCGCCAAGACCATATGATTGCCGATGCCGACCTCCACATAAGAATAAGGATGAACAAAGGGCTTTCCTTCGACATGAACGACGTCACTTGCTTCCTCAAGATAAGTTTTGGCATGTCTGACAACGCGCCATGTGCGATGAATGCGTTATGATTGGTTGAGACCCGCTAAATTCATAACAAGGTCTCATATACCTGACCAAATTGCGAGTGCTCGTAGCCGGCCAGTATCTGGTATATCGTAAGACCTCAACGAACAAAAGACTGATAGCATGCTCTATGTATGCGCCTCCTGATAACGATGGAAGCATCCTGTGACTGTGCCTGCGAGATGATGCAATTAATATCTGCCTACATGAAAGGCAATGAACATACTCATGCCAGGGGCCTCTGGAATGCCCTCCATTCATTAGGCCAGCCGTTCTTCGGCGGTGTATCTGTTGGTATGCGGAGTTCTCTAGGAAACAAACCCCTCACTCTGGACTCAACAGCCCGCTTCTCTGGTTCAGACATACTCTTCATGGCCTCCACCTCAGCCAAGCTCCTCGCTCTTGGATCCTCTTGCTTATTTGCTTCCCTAAACAGCCTCGAGTCAATTTCTTCCAGTTCTTGCATTGCCTGCCTCATGCAATTAAATTTGCGCTGCAGCTCCGCGTCCCGTTTTTTGCGTAGGTGTCTCTGATGGAGGAGCCAAGCGCGCTCAATAGTCTCGTGCGCTTGCACAGAGGGTATCGCGCGCTGGAGAGCGCGCGCGACATCTGGGCGCCATGTACCAGTAGGAGAGGCTTTGTTGCGGATGTTCGGAGGGTACAAGTGACGGCGGATGATGTCTTTTTGTGGATCGGAAGAAGACACTTCACCCTTGCGGGTCGAATAAAGCCGCGCGCCCAGTCCACGCAATTGGAACGGCAAGCCATTCGATTTCAAAACTGAGACTGACATGACCTGCAGCGCGTGACAGTGAAAGTGAGTGAACGGTGAAGCTGAGGTCAACAAATTTCATTACTTTGTTCATTTTCCCACGGCTGCTTTACTTGAAATTCTCGAGAGCTGAAGCGCTGACAAGTGTGCTAGAACATGTCCTTTTCCCTTGGGCTGCTCTGTCGGCAATGTTGCCATTCAATTCTTAGTCCAGTAAGTACCTACTCGTCTGAAATGTTCTCATCTGAATTTGCGCAGCGCCCAGCACTCGTTCGAGAGTTTTCTTCAACACCCATCTTAGCCCTACGACGAACGAAAAAGATTCCGGTGCTCTCCAAGAAAGCCCTTGCAGCAAAGGCAAGAAAGCGCGCAGCGAAGGCTCGCAAACACATATATGAGAATGAGAAGATGACTCTCGAAAGCGCTATTGACGTGATCCGTGTATGTTCCCCGGGCCTTATTACAACTCATTAACCAAAGATCTCGGTAGGCGGTTGAAGTTGCAAAAGCAAATGCTACATACGAGCTGGTGATCAAGACTGCCATGTCCCGCGGATCTATCATTCCAAAGGGTCGTATTGCTCTCCATCGTGAAACTAAAGCTCGCCCCGAAGACCGCATCCTTGTATTTGCCGAGGGTCGTCAGGCAGAAGAGGCAAAGAGTGCGGGTGCACACATCGTCGGTGGAATTGAGCTAGCAGATGGTATAATCAGCGGCAAACATCATGCGACCACCATTCTATGCTCCACAGCCCTCATCCGGACCATCACCCCAAAACTCGGACGTGTCCTCGGCCCGCGTGGTTTGATGCCTTCTGAGCGTCGAGGGACGGTTACGGATGATTTTGCCGGCTACTTGCGGCGACTTTCTGGTACTACAGAGTGGAAAGGCGACAAGAATGGCGTCATTCGGATGCCTATTGGCAAGGTCAGTATTTTTGCCCAGCCCGCGTCCGCTAGCCGCGGTCTACTATTTCTAAACATCTTTATTTACCGACAGCTCCACTTCCCGATAGAAGACATAGTTAAAAATGTCAAGCAATTCGTGACCGCTGTCAAACGGGTGACCGGGAACCAGAAAGATACCGAGGAGAAGGGAAAGAGCAAGAGTGTCAAGCCCGGTGAGTGTCTCTGGTACTTTGATCTCTTCTCGTATCGACTGAGCGACTACTAGTCAATGCCATCACACGTGTAATGTTGAGCTCAACGCAGGCACCCAGCATTCAGATATCGGACATTTGATATAGCAGTGTTGATCGGGAACTAGACAATGAAAGTTCTGATTGCAAATATTCTGCTTGAGAGCAACGTGTTACTTGTGCATCCTGGCAAAATTACCCTTTCCTTGTCACTAAAGTACTAACCATTGAAGTACATTTATATATCCTATAGTAGATGTTTCATAAAGTGATGCCACCACTGTCCGGCTCTTTGTCAGTTCTGCTTGTCTCAGGTTAGAAAGATAGGTTCGCGTATAACTGTCCCCTTGGTACGAACACATAACACGTTGAGATGGCGTGTTTAGCACTGTCTGAGGTGTACGTGAATCGATAAGGACTGACTGACAGTGTCATCATCATGATGCGTAGCTAGTGGATAGGAGGAAATAGACTAGGGAAGCCTACATTTCTGACCAAGTTGCATTCAGGTGAAAACTCACCAGGTTTCCTAACCAACAGGGAGTAACACTAAGTTCGATACAATGATACTGGTGATACATTAAATTCGTCTGGTTTGCAGTAGTGTAGTAGCGTGTGAGAGGAAACGAGCAAAGCAAATGTGAGAGATCCAAACAAGAAAAAAGATTTACACTATCGCTCAGCCAGCAATGCGGAATGTTCCTTCTGCACTGCACGATCGCGTCTGGAAGCCATCTTCCTCTCTTTCAACGCCTCCTCTACCTTTGAATAACGTTTCTCGCCTTTTGTACGGTCCCGCCCCTTTGCCCTCTTTCCAATATCATCACCCCTTGATCCACCCTCCCGCGTAGACTGAAACTTCTCCTGCGGACGATTTTTGGGCGGATGAGGGAAGATATCACCCCAGGACGATTTCCGCGCGTCATAGAATGGTTGTTTACCTTGGGATTTTGGGATAGTAATACGCATAATTTTGCCTGTATCATATGTTAGACCAGTCACGGGGCTAGAACCGAGGAACGGCGACAAACCTTCCGCGGTGCATGCGTCAATGATTATGTGCCCGCTCTTTTTCAAAGGTGGGAAGACGAGGCGCGGCCAATGGAATGCCTCATTTCGCAGCGCGGCTTCGACCTCCTCTGAGTTTTCAGCTGGCAAAATTTCCAGGGGAATATGATCAGTTGCTTCAGCTTCGTGCCTCGTTTCAACATGATCTGCGTCAAGTACAAGCTCCTTCGTTACCCTCTCTTCCTTTAGCCTGATCTGCTCTGCCTCCTCCCGACCGACAGCGCCAACGCGTCCTACACTGCTCACCTGCGTGGAGATGCCTTCGCCTACTATGCTTGGGCGTGGCCCGCGTTGAATTGCAATATAAGAGTACTCGATATCTTCGTGACCCTCACGTGCATGTTTTGTGAGACGAACAAAGGACGGACGTTGCAAGCGTTGTGAGAAGCCACAAACTAGGCTCACAGATTTTCCAGAGTACAGAGGGCAAGCACCATCGTGCGGGCACTATTGCAGGAAGACAAGAATCTTAGTATGACTCATCGCAGGGTTGAAAAGTTCAACACCTACAGGAGCGACAACGTGGGCACCGCGAACAGGCCAGTCTGAAGTTTCTGGGTCATTGAGTTCTTTACGCCCCATCTCGAGGAGATATTCGCGTGCTTCTGCAATGTTCTGAAACCCAGCTTTCGTTTTGTGATCGATCAGAACCTATAATAATTTTAGACTATTAGACAGTGACTAAAGTGAAGGGACAAAATGAAAGCTCACGATGGTATGTGCTCCACTTTCCCACAACTCTTTCACGAACTTCTTCCGCGCGAGAGGGGTCTGTAGAGTTGAAAGCATGAAAGCAGACAGGGCAAGAGTATCGAGCCCCTCCGATCGCTTAATTTTATCATCTTCACGGAAAGACCTTTGCCAAGTTGCGCTGAGGGCTCCCAAGTCTGTATCTGTTTCATTAATTTAGCGAGTGCGCAGCGAGATGCAGCACGCATGCGTTACCTCTCAGTAGACGTTTGCCTATTGCAACAAGTCCGTCACGTTTGTCGATACCGAGGTATGTGAAGATATTGGATGTGGAGAGGCGCGGTTCCTCGGAAGCGCTAGTGGGTTTCTGAAAAGTATTCGTCGATGCCCTGATGTTCTTCAGCATCTACAAGTTACAAGCATCTACAACGTACCATAATCCGCTGCCTGCACCTGAGCCCCAGTCTATGACATGTTGCACATTCCATTGTGAACCTAATCTGTGCTTAACATGGTGGAGTACAGCACAGATGGCAGAATAATGTGCAGGGAGAACGACCGACGCGAACGCTGTCCCGTCACGGTCAGAGTGTCGCGCCCCTTGCTTACGAGAGCGGTATTTCACGTCGTACGAGTGATCCCATCCTTCACTCTCATGAAAGAAGAGACGCGTAGCATCACTATGTAGCTGCACCTTGTCAGAAGCTGATAAGTGATTAGAATGTGCAGAGACTGATTTCACCCGACAAACCATCTATCAGAGCAGTAATTGACTTTTGCAATTCAGTGGGCATAACAACAGCACCAATTTTTTGGCTTCCAAACCGCGCTGCAGGAGATTTGCGGTGCTCGCTTCGTTCAGAGTGATCTTCAACAAAGTTCTCCGCGTCCTTGGCCTCCTCTGGGTATTCAATCGCGACAGGTTCAAGCTCGCGTGGTGGTCTCTTTGCCACTACGTGCTTATGGCTTGTCAAGGAGATATCTATGTCTTGCAAAAGCGCCTTTAGCGTTGGGTCGAGGTCTAGAGCCGCGTTAGGTTGGGCTAATGCTGCAACTGCTGAGGTCGAGAATGGGGTGCCAATATGGCGAATACTGTGCGCAAGGATGCGCAAAGTAGTGGATGTACCTCGAAGCATCCTAGTAGTACTCGAAAAGTTGAGGTAGTCTCAGCTCAAAGAGCGCAAGTCAAAATTGTGCGATTATATAATGGAAGTGTTTAGTTAGGCTCATCTGCAGACTTTGCACAGACGCGTCCATCCCAATGACCAGCAGGAAACAAGCTATCCCAAATGATTCCCTTAGCTTTGATGAGCGTCCTGCGAAACGGACAAAAGTAGATGATGAACGCGAGGAGAGCACATCTTCCGCGGAGCCGTCACACGCCATGGCGGATATTACTGGGGCAGCACGAGTTTCAGAAGATGAAGACGAAGAAGGTTTAGAAGATGAGGTCCAACCAGGGCAGTCAAAAAGTGAACCTAGAGCGTCAGACCTTTACCTTGACACAGTGCGCCATTCAATAAAACCCATTGCGCACGTATTTGCTGACAAGACCTTTAGATCAATCGAGCATTGCTCGATTTTGACTTCGAGAAAGTGTGCTCTGTATCTATGTCAAACATCAACACATACGGCTGTCTAGTCTGTGGAAAGTACTTCCAAGGACGAGGTCGCAAGTCGTACGCCTATGCGCACTCCATTCATGATGACCACCATGTTTTTATCAACCTTGAGACAACAAAAGTGAGCTGAATGTTAATCACACATACATAGACTTACGACACATAGGTATACGTTCTTCCAGATGGTTATCTTGTCTCTGACCCATCTCTCGAAGACATATCGTTTGTCCTCAACCCATCCTTCACGAAGGTTTCCATATCCACGCTCTCCTCGCCATCGCATCTTCTGAAACCCTCCTACGACCTCTCGTCAAAGCCCTATCTTTCTGGTTATATTGGCCTAAACAATATCAAGCGAAATGACCACATGAACGTTATCATACATTCCCTCCTCCACATCCCTCCTCTACGGGACTACCTCCTTCTGTCCTCCTTTCGTGGCAAGGAAACCGAACTCGTTAAACGATTCGCCGCTCTCGCCAAGAAGATATGGAACCCCCGG